TGTGTGTGTGTGTGTGTGTGTGTGTGTGTGTGTGTGTGTGTGTGTGTGTGTCGCCCCAGGCCTTGCACTAAAGACTCTAGTCTTACTGGTCCAGGGGTTACAGTGGGCCGCTCCTGACTCTGACCTACATCGTGCTGCAGTTAAGGCCGAGTCTCATTAACTTCCCTGCATCTTAACTCTCACATGCGTTGTTATAACACAGACCACCACTATTATAGTTGTGTTGTCGCTTACACTCAGCAGACATGACAGGATGTCCTTTAGGGCCTGAGCTGTCCTTTTGAGCTGACAGAATGGTGACACACTTGCCTTTTGCATTTGAGACCTTCACTGTTTTTTGTGAGCTCTCTATTGTAACATACAAGCTCATTGTGTTTGTGAGAAATAATAAGTAAAGTCATCATCCTGATAATTGATAATTATTTAAAGAAGACATATTATGCTCATTTTCAGGTTAATATTTGTATTTTTATCCCTACTGTGACAACAAGTGGTTTATTTGTATCATACTGCTTGTGCTGCAGTCCCAGTCTGATTGGTCTACTGTTTAGAGATGTCCCGCCCCTTGGCCTATCAAGTGCAATGTGTTGGAGTGCCAACCAATAGAAGCGTGAGTGTTACATAGTGATGTCATTATGTTACAGAAGTAAACAAAGGAGTCCAATGGAGGCATTCAGGGGAGAGGAATTATCGGATTTTAGCCTTTGCAGACCATTTAAATGCACAAAACCCTATAAAACACTACAGCAAAGGGGAAACCCAAATAGCATAATAGAGCCCTTTAAAAAAAGCCTATATATAAAAAAAGTCTCATCTGTTTATTATTGCTCACTTTTCAGTCAAAGGTCAAACTGAATGATGTTGCCCTTGAATAGCCTGACTGAGCAATATCAGATGATATTATACAGTATATAAAACACATGTTCTTCCAGTAACAAGAAATACACTAGAGATGTAAGTATAATATAACATGGTCAATAATGTAAACACTGTAGAGTAGACGAGTGTCAGACTTGAACTTTCAACTGCTCAAAAGGACTCTATTGTTGCCTTTGTACTTTTTTTCTTTTCTTTCAAGTGTTATGACATTAGGGTCATGCAGAGTGAGATCGCTACCCCTTTAAGAGAGGGGTGTGGCGCGTGCATGTGATGTGGGAGGGGCGGACTGGCCATTGGGAATACCGGGAGTTTCCCCGGTGGGCCGGTGCTGTGTGTGGGCTCAACATTAAATTACATTTTTTTTTTTAATGTGCCTAAATCCTACCGGCCCACATTTGTAAGTGGGCTGGGCCGTTTTGATAGGCTACCTTTGTTCTATCTATCAGTTTCAATTTCACACATCAGGCCCGTAGCGGCTGTCACTGCGCAGTGAACGATCAGGAGTGAGTGACTGAGAGACCTAGCTGGCAGTTGCTTACAGATGGATAAACAAGCTCCAAAGCGTAAAGGCATTTTTGTATAGTTTGTGTATACAGTATTGTAGCGAGCCCTGGGTTCAGAGGGAGGGGCGGCTGTACGGCTGTACCCGTAGGATAGAAAAGGGGGAAGTGACGTCTGACTCAGAGGTCGCGCGGCTGTGGAGAAGAACGTGTTGCCCACATTCTGTTACTGAGTTTAGGCTAGTTAGCTAGCAGGTTTATTGTTTTGGGTGCAGTCACTTTTTCCTCTGCTTGCTGTTCAAATAAATGTTGAAAGAAAAAGTAAATCTGTTTACAGTTCTGTTTTATATGGGTGTTGAAGAAGAAGAATTGGGAGGGATGAAACCCTCTTTAATGGTCACACATGCAGAGCACACAGCACACAGTGAAATGTGTTCTCTGCTTTTAACCCATCCTAGCACCAAGAGTCTAGTACTAGGAGCAGTGGGCAGCTATTGTACAGCGCCCGGGGAGCAATGGGAGTGAGGGGGGAAGGGGGATGTCCGGTGCCTTGCTCAAGGGCACCACCAAATTGGGTCAAAATGTTATTGCATCAATGATCTGTTAACATTAAAATCACTAAATATATGCTGTAACTATTTTTGCTCTAGGCAACTCAAGGGCTCAGGTAATGTGATGACTATATGAATAATTGTCCGAAATAACATAAAATGCATAGGGTTTTTTGTTAAGTAACATACTTTTGTCGCCGGCCGGCCGATACATGCCGCGCATTAAGTGGGCCTGTCTGTCAATTAACCCCCGGGCCACTTTCCCCCCCCAGTCCGCCCCTGGGTGTGGGTATGGTAGAGCGAGAGTGAGCGAGCGGTATATATGTTTTCTGGAAATGAAACGAGGCAGCAGGAAAAAGCATAGGTCTGTGATGTATCTTGTGAAACGGAAGAACTAAATAAATACAACGACCTCCCAGACGAGCTCGCCTCTCTCCAGTGATTTCATAAAGTGGGTTATTGAATCCGAAGCGTGTTGCTTCTGCCCTGGGAGACGACAGAGAGTCATCCTCCCGTTTCCTCGACCACGGTCTGGGAGCCGACAGGAAAGTTCAACACAAGAATAGTTTCTTAAAGAAATTATTTTCCATTTATATGATAACCCTGGGATATAAAATGCTCCAACAGCAAGTCATCCATGGTGCTATAAGGTTGTTTTTTTTCAGAAGGTTGCTACTGTATTTATAATCTACACTTTAAATAAGGGAGCTTCATTGAGCTGTGATTGTAATAGGAGTTCACAGCGCGGAGCCGTGCGGGGCCCGTTATTGGTTGCGTTTCCACTTATAGCCGCGTAATACCGGCTAGCGGGTACTATTTCACTTATTTCTGGCCCCATAAAATCGAGGTTCTTTCCGGGCCAACAACCAGGCTGTGTCGGGCTGAGTATGCTAAACTAGAGAGTGAATCGCTGGCAAGGGGGCTACAACTAGGCTACAACAAGATGAACATATTTGACCGTGATTTAATTGTAATACATGTTTCAAAATGATGCCGAAGTAACAACATACTGATACCGGTTAGTAAAAACCATGAATTAATGCTTCGACAAGTCTGCAGACAGACGGCAGGCGAAACACCCTTTTAAAATGTGTGTTTTCTAAGCTAACGTTGTATATGCTCCGACCGTCCACACTCACAACGGCCTATACAGACATAAATAAACCAGCGACTGTATTCGCCATGACACAGGCAGTCTGTGGTTTATACTTGTTTAACTTTTGTCTAGTTTCTGAACAGATATGAGGAGCTGTGAGCTCTGAATGCTAAGAGCTAACGGCTGTGTTGTTTTTCTGGGGCTCTCATTGAAGATGACGTCACGGCTCCGCCTACACTGCGTTACTATACATACTACCCCAGCTACTAAACTGTAATGGAAATGCGCCATAAAGTGAGCCAGTCCTAACAAGGCCTAGCCATATCGAGCGAGCGGGCCATAGTTAAAAAGAGCCTTGAGTGGTTGAAAGACTAGAAGAGCACTTGAGCACAATGAAATTCCATCTACCTTTGTACTGTATGCGTCATGATGGGTCAAGACCATGCAGAATTTAGTGCTGGAGCAAATATTTTCCACGAATGAACACACCTTCAGAAAGAATGAGGAAATAATCACCAAACTCAGCATCTGTCGCTCTTTCGCTCTTGGAGCGCTCTTTACTGAGATCCAGCATACAAACTCAAAGGCTCAATCTTTTATCCGTTTATATAAAGAGAGGGTGAATCATACGCAAAGAACTGACTGACCTGTATTGGAAAATAAACTCCCACTGTGCCACTGCTGCCTTTATCTGTTATGAATGTCACAAGGCTCAGGACCCAAACGCACAACACCAGAAACAGGTCAGGATTACAAGGTATTTAATAAAAGGCAAAAACACAAAACGCTAACTAGGAGGATCAAAACCGAGAAATTATAAGATCCAAAAACTCTAAACAAAACATCTACATGGACTATCAAAAATGAAACAAAAGGAGTCTATCAAAAATATACTTGATAAGACAAGACGAACTGGCACAGGACAAAGGGAGACGCAGACTATATATACACACTAGGTAAGGGGACACAGGTGGCAACAATTAAGGGAGGGGCTGACAATCACACTGGAGGGGAAAACACACAAGGGCAGGAATGGCTCTGAAACGAGAGGGAAAGGTTACTACAAAATAAAACAGGAATTCACAAACAAAGCAAAAGACAAAAGGACTGAACTAAATGAATTAACTTAACATAAATGTCTAGACACCACATTATCTTTCATCAATACAACGGATAATACTTGAATGTCTCACAGTCGAAGCATTATGTATGTCTTATAGGGCCTCAGATCTTAAAAGCAACCTCCTAGTGACCCTTTCTTAAAAGCTGAATGTTTGAGAAGACATACAAATTGCAGGAATGTGGAATTATATAACTGCTTCTGTGCGGCATGTGTATCTTTAATGTTTAGTCTTTAAATATTTTACGGCAGGGGGGGTCCAAACCCCCTAACCCTAACCCTGACCATTTTGAATCGGCCCTCACTCAGCAAATTAAAAAAGTATAATGACTTAAGTATAATAAACTTCCGCTTGTTTTATATTGTACTTCTAAATATGTTCAAATACCGGTATATTACACAGTATTCATGTGTTAATAATAAGCCCAATTTTCAAATAAATTCAAAGACAATTAAAGTTGAAAACATGTTTTAACAAATCTAAGTTGATAAGAAAAAAGCCCAATAACAATTCTACATGACAAACTTGAAATATAGCCTTCATATTTCCTCTTATTCTCAGCAATCTGAAGCTTCTGTTTTAAGGAAGGAGCCGCTAACAAACTAAATGAAACCCTCTGGAGAGCTGTGAGCTGTTTTTTTCTTAAAGCATTTTCAAGTATGAAGAATAATTTACCTATATTGGATTTACTTTTCCAATTTATAACTGAACTTATGAGGCAATATACCTCTAGTGAGCGGCCCAGCCCTTCTTATATTTTTCTGTGAGAAAGGTTTGGACACCCCTGTTTTACAGTAAAGCATTCCTTGCAAGTATAGTCCAAATCCTGATATGTGTTGTTCCCTCTCGTCAGGCCAAGACTCACAAACCGGCTCAGCAGCACCAACACCGGGAGGAGTTGCACTTCGTGGATGAGTATGGCCAGCCAATCACAATGCAGGTGGAGGCGAGAAGGGAGCATGGTCACAGGAGGCGGCGGTCTCGATGCGGCCCTGAGTTCAGCGTCCCAACAGAGAGACACTGGGAGGCCCTGAGAGCCATGGGGCTGATGGAGGGAGAGGGGGGCCAGGGAGACGGATACACTGCAGGGTGGGTACTGTTGGATGCTTAGGGACTGGGGTAAAGAGTTTAAAGGTCCCCGATTATACTGTTTTTCATCAATATATTATAGCTCTCAGATATATACAAACATGTCTCTGAAGTGTTTGCCTCCAAACACCAAACAGATCATTGCAGCATCCCATAATCCTCTCTGTTTCAGCCCTGTTTCAAAAGTGCTGATGGGGGGGGGGGGGGGGGGGGGGGGGTGTTACCTTGGTTGGTGATTGGCTAATGGTTACACAAGCCAAAACATCGTTATGACATCATAAAGTGGCCAAAATCTGATCAGCTCATTTTCAGACAGGTTTTTATAGAGAGAATCTTTTTTCCTGAAACTTTCAGAGTCTCTTTCCACAGAGGGGACACATGTTGATGTAGAAGAGACATGAAGAAGAGGGGACACATGTTGATGTAGAAGAGACATGAAGAAGAGGGGACACATGTTGATGTAGAAGAGACATGAAGAAGAGGGGACACATGTTGATGTAGAAGAGACATGAAGAAGAGGGGACACATGTTGATGTAGAAGAGACATGAAGAAGAGGGGACACATGTTGATGTAGAAGAGACATGAAGAAGAGGGGACACATGTTGATGTAGAAGAGACATGGAGAAGAGGGGACACATGTTGATGTAGAAGAGACATGAAGAAGAGGGGACACATGTTGATGTAGAAGAGGGGACACATGTTGATGTAGAAGAGACATGAAGAAGAGGGGACACATGTTGATGTAGAAGATACAGGAAGAAGAGGGGACACATGTTGATGTAGAAGATACATGAATAAGTGGATTTAGGTGAACTTTAAGCTTTAGTTTGAGAAAGGGACTAAATTATGAATCTCGGGTTGTCCTAAGTAAAGGCAAGAAGACAGTAATCTAAATAAGCGTTGGACTTTTTTCTTAGTTACATATTTGGGAATAAGGTTAATGTTCGGGATTAGGGTAAAGGATTGTAATTGGGGGTTAGGGTTAACAGTTGTGTAGAGCTTTGGACAAGGTCATCATTTTGGAAATGGGAGGGGAATTTGGAATTAAGTTAAAAGTCTGGATGTGTGGGACAAGGGTACGATTTTTAGAATGGGCCAACAAGTATTGGACTGACGTAAAAGTTTGTAATGCAGAAAAAAGTGGCCTTAGCCTTAAGGAAAATATATACAATGAAGACCTCTACTTCTACATCTATTGATGATTCAAACATAGGGAAAACACTTTTCACTTCAGGCTACAGTTTGCAGGGTCAGCATGATATTGCATTGAGTCTCTTGGCGCTTTTATAAATATTCATGAGGGATAGGTTGTTCTGCTGAGGCAGCTGTCAGTGCAACTAATTTGATTATACATGAGAAAGAAGACTAAATATTCATAGAGGAATTTACATATCATGGAAACAAGAACCATTTACATCCATGCAAATCTGAATAAAAAAGAAACCCACATGATCTGAACTCTTACACATTTCCCTTGACATCACCTTCTTGTAAAACATGACCTACTTGCTTCTTCCACACAGGCCATATTATGGTCACATGGCCGTGTCACCTGACCTGTACTCGGCCAACAGTCACATGATGATGTCGGATGTCTATCCACCCAATGGATACCTGCCTAGATCATCCAATGATCAGCATCAGGGGAACAGCTACTTGCCCAGCGTCTCCTACAGCTTAGATCACCTGGACAGACTGGACTACCAGGTGATTTGTTTTATTGTATTGTCTTCTGAATTCATTCTAGGGATTGCTATTATATATTTCACAAGTAACGATTTGAGACTAATTTCTAATTTCTGATCTATTTTTTCTATTCCAGACTCCAGAAATGTTGCCCTACCAGCCTAACTCAGAGAGCTGTCTGATTGGCTGCTACAACACAGAAGAGATGGAGCCCAATCATTTCTCCGGACAGGTATTTTCAGTGATGGCATCAAAGCCATTTTACTTCTGATGTGGTTGTCCTTTGCGCTTGTTTAACAAATCTCTTTGAATAAATTCATTTGTGACTGATATTTTGTATATATTGATTGTTGTGTTTTTATCTTAATGTGTGCATATGTATAAATGCGTCTGTTGATTGTGTATATATAGGATATACATATTTTATACATATTTGTATTTTTGTATTCGGAATTGTGGGAAACGGTATTTCGATCTCTCTGTCTATACACACAAACTGAAAGATTGACAATAAAGTTGATTTTGACTGACTTTGACTTTGATTTGAAATGTTCTCTTACTTGCTCTTCAGCAGGACTACCAGCCTCCCTGGCGGTCTGATCGTCATCTGGGATACCTCCCCCTCAGTGAGCTTGACAGTGGGCTTGGATGTGGTCCTGACAGTCCCCAGAACCGGGCGGCGTTCTCCGAGGCAGAGACAGACGCCATGTCTTCTCTGCCGGGTCACACCGCCTCCTCCCAAGGCTCTACCTCTTCCTCCGAGTCCCTCATCTCGTCTGAACCCAGCGACTCGGGTTTCCACAGCGTCAGCACCGGGGAGCACAGGCGACTGCATAAGATACACGGAAGCCACGCCCATCGACAAACTCACCATCTTCGCTCCGGCCACTCCCCTCGAGAGCAGAGAGGACGCTGGGATTTGGAGTCCATCCCAGAGACCACTCAAATGACTCACTCTGGAGCACCACAGGCGTCCCGTTGCACTGTGGGTAACAGCACGACCACCACAGTTCACTTCCACAGAGCTGAGAGAAGTCCCACCTTACCTCGCCACCGTTCACCACCTTCCCCTTCCATTGGTAAGTAAAGCCCTCCAATTATTATTATTTGATTTTATATTCACCTAATGCCATATTTTACAGATTTGTAAAACCATAACATCAGAAGGACTATCAACCAGATTATAATGTCAGAGTTTTAGGAATCGTTCAAAATGTTCGGTCCATGCATACTTAGAGTATATGAGTGTAAGGGAACATGCATGTACGTTTATGATAATGACTTGGTATCTTCTTATTTTCCCCCTGCATATACCCGATTAAGAAGCACAGAAACTGCCAACGAAAGGTTCTTTAAAACAGAGAAGTAGGAGTGCTCCTCACAACCAAAAAAAAAAAAATATATATAATATATTTAACTATTATGTATGGTATTCAAAACATTTGTAGATTTGCATAAAGACAGACCATAACATCTTACAAGAAAATGCTGAATCATTCATGGTCACCATTTTCCTTCAAGGGGATGAATGAACTTGATTGATGGTGCAACATCAATCAAGGAGTAGTTTGAGATATGTTCCTGTTATTCAGCCTTTGATCCTGTAACATAAAAATGTACATTTGGGATGAATGCAGTCCTTGATTTATTTAGATACCATTCCAATAAATCCCATAAACATTGGCAGTTTTGCGAGGCATCAATGTCTTTGTTGTCTTGTTTAACACCAACAAGCTACAGGTAGCTTTTTGAGACCACTTTGAGGTAACTGTTAGGTGTTAGGGCCAAAGGTGGTCCAACATGTTTTTCAAGGTATTGAGTGCAGAGTTTTCCCTGGAAACAGGTCTTGCAATAATGACTAAATGGAGAAGTATGTATTTGGACATGCATTGTAAGACTTCAGACCTCATTACTTATTTTGTCTGCAGGTTGTCACACTGAGCCCTGCCAGCGTAGGGCTCTGTGGTTGGAGCAGCAACAGCATGGTGGCGGGAGGATAGAGGTTCCAGTGCGGAGTCGAACAATAACAGATTTGAGCGAAGGCCAGCGCCCCCGCAGGGCCAGTCATCCCAACATGGCCGATCCAAACATTCTCCAGAGCAGCCAACCGCGAGCAGCCAGCAACACGCTGGGCCCGAGGAGCAGGGCCAGTTATCCCAGTAACTCTCGCCCCACCAGTCACCACCTCAGCATCGACAGAACCAGTATGATCAATCAGCAGAACATACTGAGAAACAGCAAGTGCATGAGCCGGAGCAGAGAGGAGGACTCCCTCTCTAAGAGTCCTGGGTCCGGCTCCAGTGGAGCGTCAGACTGGCGCGGGTTTCAAACCTTAGGGAGTCGCCCCGGCATGCCTACAGCTCCCTCTGTTCCTTACTACAGCACCCTGGGAGCCCCACAACATCACCCTCGCTCTCCCCCCTCTCCACGCTCCAGACTGTCCAATCAGAAGTCAGTGAGGAACCAGCTCCTGAGAGCACGAGCTTACCGATTGGCCAGGGAACGCAGCGAGGTCACAACAGATGAGGATGTACGAGGAGAGGGGGAGAGAGAAAGGGATGATGACGGGGAGGATGGACGATGGGCTGGGAGATACTGGAGCCGCACCGAAAGAAGACGCCATGTTGCGTTATCACGGCAACACAGAGAGAGGAGGGGAGGGGAGGAGCATGGCGGGGGTCTTCAAGGGTCGCTGTCGTCTCAAACTGTGCTGGAGCTGAGCCACATGAAGCAAAACCGACTGAGGAACCGCAAACTGCTTGATGATTGGACAACTGTTGAAGAACTGCTGACTCACGGGACTCGAGTGGAGAGCGACAGTCAGCTTTGTCCCAGCCCTCTGTTATCAGTTACAACTGTCTGATTGGGAAAACTCATGATACACATTTCTATATTTATGATGATTGATGAAAGTAGCCAATACACACTCAGGCCCAGATTCATAGAAGGTTTGCGTAGTTAAAATTGCAAATGTCTGCACTAAATTGACCAAATCAGAAAGGCTAGTTTTTGGTGACAGAAGTCATGGATCCATCAATTACATTTAAATTAGATCATTTTAAACCCTTCGCTGCTACCAATTGCATAGTCAATATATGGGGAGGATAGGGGGAGCCTGAGGATATCAACCAAGTTAATATATAGCTGATAAACCAAAACAATGACTTAAAAAAGGCTAAAAGTTGTCTTGAGCTGCTGAGTTGGTGTTACACTTAAAAGGATTGGCAATACTAGTGTTAAGTGCCATTTTCACATTGCATTGCACCAGTCTATGCAATGTTAAATGTTACCATTTTTTAAATAAATAAATGCTTATATAGATGCTTGCAGACATGAGCTTAAACAGATTCACAGAAATGTAAAAATGCAACTATATTGGACTTGAATACAATAAAAAAGGATCTTAGTCTGGTCATTTACTGTATCAATGAAAGTCTGGACATCAGAGCATAAAAGTATCTATTCATAGGGTTTCAGAATTATAAGAACAACATGGCCAAAGTTGCAACTGGGGTCAGACCAACAAAAAAGGTTCAAATGAAAACAAATGTATGGCAATCTTCCTATCCTAAACCTAAACTGACAAACTGAACCAACGCTACAGTCTGACAAGAACAAGAAACTTCTGATGGAAATATTGCTATAGAAATGAGTTTCTGCAGGTTTGTACGAGTAAAGGACACTAACGAGCTTGACTGCATCATTAACAGATTCACTGGACGCACCAGTCGGACTCTTCACACACCAGACCGCCTGTGACTGCTCTGAAATAACACACATCGGTTGTGTTGCCTTGTGGAAACGTTTCTACATCTCCTTTATCTGGTTTAACTGCCTTTGATTCCGTCTCTGTGCCATAAATTGTCAAAAGGGTGACTTTAGGGTGAAATTATAAAAATTGTAAGCCGGTTGGAGGATGATCAAACCGCCTCTAAATCCACTTTGACGTTGTTGCACCAAACTGTTGTTGTTGTTGTTCTGGCACCACTTTCACAGTTTTCATCCTGGGTTGTTTACCCTTTTAATCTCTCACAGACTTGGAGTGTAAATGAATAAGATATTTAGAGAGGGCTCACAGGTCTCCATGCAGCAATGTTCAATCCGGTTTCTATTTAGTTCTTAGTATTCTGCTGCATTTAGTGATCATAGCTGTCCAAAGAGGATTTATACATCTGTTTTCAAATCAAGGGTTGCCTAGGTGCCATAGTTGGACATTTTGTGGACGACCCTTTCTTTGTTTTCTCTCGCATAAAGTTAGATGAGAAAATGTATCCCAATGTATGTTGAATATGGAGCTACAGCCATTAGACCAGGGGTTCTCAAAGTGCGGCCCGCGGGCCAATGGCGGCCCTCGGAAATGTGTCTGGCGGCCCGCGATAGTTAATGTGACACGCTGAAATGCATGCGTTATATTTTAATCCTCCATGGTTGTATCTAGTAAGAATTAGAATGGAATTTAACCCTCTGAAGTCGGTGGACGCGCCGGCGTCCAGGTGCGCATAATTTTACGTAATTAATCATATATTTTCGATTATAAGGAGTAGAAATATGATTCAGATATCCGCGGAATCTCTGGAAGAGTAGCTTTTCCAGTCTCCTGTGAGACTGTAACCAGGGCACAGCAGCCAATATGGCCGCTCAAAGCAGCTTGACTTTACACTGTGTGGGATTGGTGGATTTGTGTGTCCGTCAAGGAAATCTCGGCCGGCAGCCATCATGGTCTGAAATGACCAATGACCAATGAAAACATAAACCACGTGTCTCCCATCAGTTTACGTCTGTGAGGGGAGAGAGTCTTCGACTCTTCTGAAGAAGAAGAATACAAAGACAACAACAAGGATCCATTTGGACATGGGTAAGTGTAAATATTAAAGAAATACATTTAAAAGGTGATTTAACAAAACATCTAAAATCGAGAAAATACCCTTAGACTCCAGAGGGTTAAGAATGGTAAAACTGCGCCCCCTGGGTTGTCATTCCTAAATTATGAATGACAGCTTGTGGAAAGTTTGCTAGACTACTGGTTGCATGGCAACTAGGCATCTCGCGAGTTGCGGTAATTGGTTAGTACAATAAAGAAAGGATTTGTTTTGGAATTATTTTGTGTTCCGTTTTTTCTTGGGCGGCCCTCAATCCAATATTGGGTACCTAAATTGGCCCTCACTCATCAAAACTTTGAGAACCCCTGCATTAGACTCTTATCTTACTTAGCATACATACCAGAAGACGGTAGGCTAGTAGAACAGGTATAAATCCTCCAGCAGGCCATTTTGGGACCATACGACAATTTGTCTGAAGACGATAAGCCTGATAGACTTCTTTCAAGCACCGGCCATTTTTGTACTGTTGCCGTTAGTAATTTAAGATATGAGGATGGAGTTGGAGTTAAGAGACGAGGTGATTGATACTGGATTGACTGAAGTAGCCAGTTTAGAGTCAGTTAACTTTTAATTATTTAGATTCAGATAGAAATAATCAAATTGCTGTTAGTCGATGAGCTCCGATATTGTATTTCAGCAAACGCTTTCTGCCTCTATTTCATGCCACCAAATCCTACTCAAATGTGATTGGTCAGTACCAAAAACCAAAATCCTGTTCAGTTTCCTGCTCGTTCTGAATTTATATACAGTTTAAAAAGATTATAAAGCAGTAATAGGTCCCAGTAAAACTAAACATGCAAGAAAACATATTTATTTTTAAGCTTTAGAGGATTTGATAGGCAGATAATCTTTACCTTTGGACAATGTTTCCCATTGTTTAGAGCCTATATGGTCAACGACGATACAGAGTTGCTGGCTGTAGCTTCTTATTGGACATATGTCAAATAGGTATCACTCTTCTCATCTAAATGAAATGAAGATGTATTTGATCTTTAAATGACTCAATAAGATTCTCATCCAGCCTGAATCTCAGGTAGCTTTTCTTTTTACTAAATATAATCCTATTATTTTGAAGGGATTACCGGATCATCACAACAACAGTCCTTAAATCTCCTTACTTACGTTGGGCTTACACTGGTGACAAATATCGATATATCTGTTTTCTTGTCACATACAGTACATGCCAGAAGACAATATGGGTGGCAGCATTAATCTGAGACTAATCAGGGTGAAATGATATGTTTAATGTATATACTGAAACTGTTCAATGCAATTTTGTTAAAATAAGATAATGTCAATTTATTTTCATATTCTGTCGAGGTTTGGAGGAAATCAAGACCGTTTACAGGTCACAAAGTTGGACTCGTCAAATGAATATATTTAAGGTTTATTTTTTAAATGTTGTGTGTGTGCGTGTGTGTGTGTGTGTGAGAAAGTATAACATTTGATACCAACGTATTAGTCGTGTTTGGCCAAAGATATTGTATAACTTTGGTTTGTAGACAATCTAGAACAACAATCACTGTATGGTGTAAAAGTATATTTTATAATTATATTAGTTTGATATACTTTTCCTTTATTTTGCCTTCAGTAGATGAACTCTGCTTTTCACCAACAACCTGCTATGCTTGTGTACAGTATGTATATAGATGTAATGTAAAATCAACTGTTAGCATAAGCAAGCTTTATTATGACAAACTAAACCCAGCATGCTAACTCCTGATTAGCACAGAACAAGCATTTCAATGATTGCCTAACCAAGTGTCATAAGTGCTCAAGTCATTGTCCTCTATTTTTCACAGCTTTGATTTTGACATATTATCTAAGAGGAAGTGGAGCTCGAAATCACGTATGATTTAATTTGTTAAATTGTGTTTAGGGAGCCATGTGACTATGTTGTGGCTGGTTACAGTGCATTCTGTGAAGCATGCATCTAACTCGTCATCTGTCGATCTGAGGTCAAACTAAAGTCCACCCTTCACACCCAGGAACATTCTTAAAAGGGAAACGTTATACAGTAATGTCATAGCTGTGATTCGATACAACAATATCTTTATCGAGATGTGTTTTTTGTTCTTTATTTTGACATGAAGAATTGAGGGGAAATGTGTTCATTCTTTATTTTTTGGAAGGTCAGATAAAAAGATGAATTGAAGTCTCATGCCTGTGTGTTCAATACAAAGTTTATAGAGAGGTGGTTAGCCTAGCTTAGCACAAAGTTTGATTTTGAATGTTTATTCCATATGGCATTTCCTGGAATGTGATTTCACAGTCCTTGCATTGACTGTCGAACAAGAAATATTTCCTGCATTTTAACACAGAGGAGACGAATATTCAGCATTGTGGCTCTGAGCAAACCTAAATGGGTATATTTCAAAAAATGTTGAATAATTCTTTAAGAGAGTTCAACTTTAAAAGGGCACTTGAGACTATGTTGTTTAGGTTTTGTGAATCTGGTCCTGGATTTTGGGGTTTTAACTGTTTGTCTCTTTCAGGGCTGTGTGCAATAATCAGACGTCTAGTTTAAATCTGCTGGTCGAGGTCTGTTGTGTTTTTGCTCAAAGTTTCGTGCTCAGGTTTGTGTCTGATGATGTCAGAGAGGGAGGTAATGAGTTCAAGATGAGACAGGAAGGCGACAACGAGGGGTTTTTGTATTTTTTGTTTGTGTTTCCATGCACCCTGTGACCTCACAAATGTAAGGAAATTTGAATCATGATGTCCATGAGATTTCTGATGGATCTCACCCAAAAGTTATTTAAGACAATGTCAGTAAACTGTGAAAATTGAAAAATATCCTTGTTGAGTTTATTTTTGTTTGATAAATTAAATCTAAAAAGGTACACTGTGGATTTTGTGTTGCACCTGAGCTACCTAATGTTTGGGACAAATCCTCCTGCAATAAGCCTTTTGTTTAGTGTTTCTGCTCAAGTTATAACCATGATGTTTCAAAGACAACAACATATTGATTTCATCTAATACATATATCTAAATTAACATAGGAAGATTTAAATATGATTTTATTTAACACTAATACAATTCTATTACATTATTTTTGAATAATAATCTTCTGGGAAAAGTCCTGAAAAAACCTTTGTGAATGAATGATAGTAAACATTGAAAACTAAATTTTGAACAAAGTGAATATTAATTAATTATAATTGGACAATGTGTTTTCAATTGAGGTTATTTCACTAGGACAATAATGTATTTTCAGCAAGAGTGAAATAATTGACTACGCAAACAAATTACTGCAATGCATTTACTACAAGGGTACAAATTCAACATATTTTGTAATAAATTAGTTATTTCCACCCAAAATTGCACGACACTATTATTATATGAATCATCTGAGATTTCTTTAATTTAGTTTTTTTGTGACAAAACACCAAGATTACAAGTAAAGTAAAGTAATATCCCTCTGGCATGAAATAAACGAACAGGATATAAATAAACAGTTCACTACTAAGCTGTTAAATACACAGATTGTTTGGGATTTTATGATCATTCAAGGCTGTTTATCTCGGCCCTGAATGTGGAGCGAGTTTGTGGGGACGAGACGCTCTGCTGAGTTCATACATTCAGAGTGAGAGGACAGCTGGGTCTGAAAATCCTGCCTAATGCAGATTTTGGGAATCAAAGCGTGATGTGAAAACAGACACATGCTGCCGCACAGTTCAGGGTTCTTTAAAGCACATGACCCACAGCTAAAAAAGGGTGAGTGAAGACAGATATGTAGTTAGTTTTATAACCAGAAATGGCCTTCAAATTGTGTGTTTTTAAATGTCAGGAAAGGAAAAGCCCAGGTGTAAATGATAAAAAGCCGTCAGTGTTGTGTATGCTGACTTTGCTGTTACGCTACAAGGGTGTGCATCCATCTGTTTGCATAAAAGAGCCTGAGTGGCAACGATGTACATTTTCTAGAAAAAGCCTTAGTGAATAAATGATGATGTATTTGAAACACATGACTTAAAGTGAACAGCTGAAAACAACAAACTGTGTGGTTTCTGCAGCTTACAGCAAGAGTGACAGATTTGTCTTGCTTTTCTTTTTAAGACTTTAAAGTCTATGAAACAGGCGGTATTTTCCTATGTCTAGTCAAACGTCTTGTTACATACTGCCTATACTTATGGATTACCTTCCATAATCAGATGAATTTTGGGGTACGGTGAGGCTGAATATGATTATCCTCATTGAGCTGTTATATCTCTCTTAAAGAGCACGCTTCCCTGTACTGTAGGCCTAAGTAAAGAAACAATAAGTACATTGTCTTTTCTGTCAACAGCTGCAAAGGAATTCAATGTAAATTCCTTCCATTTCACAGCTGATTTAACAACTATGTTTAAAAAACCTGGGCCACATGTTCAGTTATTGTCCTGGTTGTTGTTTTTTAATCACAAACTCGGCAGGAAACATTGACTGACAGCATCTCTGAGTTTAGTCACTGGCGGCCATGTTGGCTCTTCAGGCCTGCTCCGTGACAGTTGCCATAGCAACAAGTGTCTCAACGGCAGCAGCTCTCAGCCTCGTCACCATGGTGATGTTATGAGGAGGACGATGGGACTTTATTTGCAGCTACACTCGTCAGCTGTGCAGAGAGAATCGGCAGCATCAGTGACATTTAACGCAGCTGCACCGACTGACCTCAGATCTGTCATTGTGGTGAACGCAACCAGTGAAAAACAATACATAGGTGTAGTAGTTTATAATCTATTTTCACGCTGCAGTGACACATTTAACTCCTG